AGATCTCACCTTCCCACTTGTTGATTCAAATGCACAAATGCAGATTAGAAAGCGAATTGTCCTTGAAAAACTGAGAAAAGCGTGAGTATCCTTTACTTTGGTAAATATCAAGCTGAAGTTGGTGCTCATTCATCATTATTTTAAGAAACACACTGTGCAAGCATGTTCTTGCTTTTTCTAGGTGGCCTTATTGATAACTTAAACCTATTATTGCCCTAAAGATCTTAATTATTTCTGAGACAGTCATCTGTGGTACAGTTGTAGATGTCAGTTTGCACAGCCTGCTGAGGTGGATGTCAGAACCTCACTACTAAGGTGTTCTCTAGAAGAAACCTGTCCCTTCCCATAAGCATTGGAGCTTGTAGTTGACAGCATTCCGGGCTGGCATGATAGCATGTTCCAACTCTTTAGGAGTTGGCAGGAGTCAATGCAGTTGTGTCATTACCCTGAAAATATCTGTGGGTTTTTTGATCTAAATGTTGCTATAGCACATGGAGCTTAAAATCCACAGCGAGCCCTTTATTTATCATCCTCCTTTCCCTCAGTTATCTGGAAATAACTGTTTAGATTCTTCTAGGTTGTTTAAAAGCAGATTCTGATGGATGTAAAATATGAAATATTTAAATGGCTGTATGTACCAACTGAAAAACTTGAAGTTGATTGGGATGAGTGCAAATATCTGTCCTGTATGTTAAGCATACGGTTACTGGTAAACAGATCTACACAGAAGGAAGTGGTGTCTTCAAACCTCTTAATAGTTTAAGCAGAGGTCTTTCTAAAAGAATTCCTAGTCCGTGTTTGGATGGCTGGTATCAGTATGCTTCTAGCTGCAACCATTAAAGGCCCTCAGAGTTGAAACTTTCCAAACACCAGACCTTTTCACATACATAAAAGGACTTTGGAGTCCCAGAAAAGAGATTAAAGCATCTCTGCTGTAGCTGTTAAAATTATTAAATTGACAAAGTTGAGAGGACCTTGAAAATACTCCCGTTGTCAAGGCAGTACAGATAAATGGCTGTTTGAAGGCCACGATTGTGTTGGTTTTGTTAGGATTATTTTGCTTTTCTGTGGTTGTAGTTTGTGTTAACTAGCCAAACTAGATTTTACAGAACCTTTTTTTTTTTAGCTAAAAAAAAACCCCAATCGAAACTCCCCTCAAAAACCCAAAACAACTCCATTTTGTTTTTCTCTACCTGCAACAAGCGTGGACAGGCCACAAACATGGAATTAAACTATGCTGCAAAAAAGGTGGCTGTCTCTGATCCTTCTGTAAGCGTCAATGTCTCGTGGGTTCCAAGGACTACTACTGTACACTAAAGCAGTCTCTCAGCTCTTTGAAATTTTTCCACAAGTTTGTTAGGCATTTTCGGCTGCTAGCAAAATTTCTGTTGAACTTTGAAGTCTGGTACTCCATGAATAAAGGATAAGACAGAGAGATTGGGTTTTTTCTTAGTTTCTTCAAAGATTTTATTCTTGACTATCCCCTTCTTTAGCTTGTCTTTTTAAATTTTATGAGATCGTGCAGTAGTCCTGTCTTACTCGAGTAAGAGAGACAATTTTCACTGTGATAAAGCAATGACTTCTTGGTGTGTTCAGGTGAAGTTAGTGGGAATATGAATACGGCCAGCATCATGAGAGTCCTGAGCTTGTTTTTTGTAAAACATGCAGTGATGTAAAGGAGAATAGAAATCTTGATTCTTCCAGCAATATTGATGCACCTTGCGCATATATGCATATAAACATAAATAACTGGATATTCAAATGCAAGAGGATATTAACTATTAAACAAGTAAATAGAGGCAAAAGTTTGATCCTAAATGTGAAAAGCAATGTGTTTTATTTCCAGCATTTTGGGATACTGACAACTAAAACAGTATGTATGGTTTGTTGTGTATTGTGTCAGGTTTTACACACAGTCAAGTACGGCGTCAATTTGTCTTTTTCTTTCTTTTGAAGTTTTCTGATTTCCTTACTATCATCTTGATTCCAACTATCAGGCTTACAATGGAATGTTATTTCTGTTGCATCTACGTGACTCTTAGGTTAGTAGCTATATTCTCTGGGCACACCTCATTTAGACATGTAGTTTCCTTTGTACTGTTATTTTTCAACCAGGTAAATACAAATATTTGAAACATTTCTGAGGGCTGGAGTTCTAATCCTCATTACGTAAGCACTTTGATGTTTTTGGTAAGAACATCTTGTCACAACTGAAATGTGAAGTTAATAGAATATGCATGTAAAATTATATTTAATTTCTTCTTCACATTCACACTCAACTAGAGCTTCTTATTTTTAAAAACAAGCTGTTGTAAAGTGAAAGTGTTGCCCAAACACCACTCAGGAATCTGAAATGTAAACTACAGGCCTGATCTGCTGCAAAAAGTCAATCTCTTTTTATTAACTGTCATGAGCTTTGGTGGACATCCTATGTGAGAAGAAATGAGAAAGAGGAAAATTTATATTGACCAGGGTCTTTTGCCTTCTAGGTTACCTGCAGTTTTGGGCCCTCTTCAGATTACTCTAGGTGATGTTTACACAGAGCTAAAAAATCTTGTCAAAACTTTCCGGTGAGTATTGGTCTTTATTGAGAGATTCTTCTTGATTTATTAATTAAACATGCCGTTGAATGATTTGTGATTTGGGCACAGGGAGGGCCTCATTGGAGATTTACCCTTTTCTAGCTGTATTCTTGTAGGTAGTGTCATATTCCCTGTGGACTAACAAGTCAACCCTTTCCGTGCTCCTGACAGTGGCTAGGTCACCAGGAGTATTTGTAGATTTTTAAAAACTAGGCCAGTGATCTCTGGAGGATGATGGTGAGTCTTTTAAAGGTTCTGCTACCTCGTCACCTCCTATTAAGCATGAGTTTCTGAGATCTGTCGCTTTCTTTTGCTCTGGCTCCCTACAGCCAGGCTAAATGGTTTTAATGTGATTAATAATTGTTACCACTAACTTCCAGAGCCAGGAAGAAGGTCCAATTTGACCTGTCTTGTTTCTGATTTCAAGAGGAGGTAGATCTAGTGGACTCTTATCACCACAGATAAAGCTTCTGCTTCAGTCAGAGGCACTAAAGACAATATTTGGAAACATTGGAATAAAGAAGGAGGGAAAAACAGAATGGTGGTAACTTCTCTGAACATTTTTGGGTTTTCTTTGGAACAGAACTCTTATAACTTGAACATAAATCATGTCCTGCATCTTGAAGCATTGTCAGGAAAAGGAGCAACAACAGTTACTGACTCTGTGTATGTTTTCACTCTTTGAACTTCCCCCCCAACATCCCCAACCTGCATGAGGTGTACATGAAAAATTTCCAGAACTCATTCATGTAGCATTTGCCACAAGGAATCTGGGCTTTAGTGAATGGAAACTCAGCTCCACCTGATTCCTTATGATTTATATGACATCTGGAAGGACACCACTAAAGCACAGATCTGCATATGCAGGATTTCTTACTATGGAAGATACTCTTTTCCTTTCTGGTGACTCTGATCTCTTTTATTTGAAAGAATTGTTAGTGTTTGAACTTGATTCTGTAATTGCAGTCTTTTAAGTTGAGTTTAACCTTTTGTTTTAACAGCAACACTGAAACCAGAGAAGTAATTTTTTGTTGTATTGGAGCAGCATGTTTATACTGTATATATACCTACTATTTGAATAAGATCTGTGTGTCTTAAAACAATGTTGTTGCTCTGCAGTCTAAATGCTTAATAGTCACTTTAGCTTATGGTTTGATAGAACTGGAAAAACTACATTTGGTCTCTTTCAGTCTACTTTTGTATGATTGATTATGTAAGAAGTCCTAGAGGTTCTCAAAAGCAGAACTTTACATAATTTTTGCTATTCAAAGACAATGTGGCCTGAATATGAGGTTTTAAAAATGGTTTATGGCAAAGGAGCCTTGAAACCAAACACATACATATATATATATATAAAAATACACACACACACCACCTGTGGATTTGTGGATTTAGAATGGAACCAAATCTAATTAATTTGGACTTTGGTCCCAATACCTGTCTCATGCAGCAATAATTTATCGTATTTTACAAATCTACTTGATCTATTTCTGATCTGTCAGATAACACTTTGTGAGTTTATTTTTAAGTCTTTTTTTGTTAGGAAATAAGTTGAAGGTAATGGTAGTGTGTTCTTTGGACTCACTTACTGTGAAGATTCCAGAGAAATTGCTTAGAAATTCAGCGTTTTGGGCAGGGGATGATTGAGGACAATTGTGGGCACTACATGAGAACTTGTAAGTGCCTTACATGTATCTCTGTCAAAATGAATGGGGTTTTATTATCACTGATAGTAAAAGAATACAAAAATACAGCAAATAGGGAGGCAATAAAAACCTTTGGGCACTTTCTCATTCTTGCATTTCTGATACGGAAGGGTCTGTTGATGCACAAAAGCTAGCTCATGGATATTAAGATGAAGGCAAAGTTTTGAATCTCCAGTTCTGTACATGGGTTTAAATTTACTTAATATGAGTGGTCTCTGATTTTAGGTTGAATGCTTTGGCAGTGGGACCTGGGATAAATTTAAAATGTTATTTACGTTTGCAGGCTATCATAATTTAAACGTTACTTTATTTGTAAATGTGGTTAAAATGCTTAATGACTATGGAAGGAGCACTGACAAATGCTAGTGCTCTTTACTGCTTTTTGTACTGGAAATATTTCAGGCTGAGGAACTTAGCAAAGATGGTAAGAGATAAAACACATGGCTGTCATAGGGCTTAGCTGACGAAGGGTAAAAGAGCATTTGGTGAACTAAGCAACAACAATTTTCAGCTCCATTGGTTTTTAAAGGAACACTTGCAGTTCAGCCTCCTTTGGGCAGCATTTTATTCAATCACCACTGCTGGGAAACACACTAGAGGGATCTCAAGAGATGTTTTAGAATGGTTAGAGCTCTTCCCAAACAAAGTCCCTCAGTGCCTGTAAGCTTTTGTTACGAAAACTGAGATGTCAGATAATTCTCCAGAGTGTGTAAGGCTACTTTGTTGAAAGATGAAGAGAAAATTAGCTATTTATATATAAATCGAGGCTAAATGATTATGTTTGTGAATGTGTGGTGGTTTGGTTTTTTTTAAGCATAGTATTTCATACTGAAAATAGAATTTAATCTGTATCTTATGGTTGCTGTATTCTAATTACAGAATCACAGAATCACAGAATATTAGGGATTGGAAGGGACCTCAAAAGATCATCTAGTCCAATCCCCCTGCCAAAGCAGGAACCTAAACGAGATTACACAGGAAGGCGTCCAGGCGGGTCTTGAATGTCTCCAGAGAAGGAGACTCCACAACCTCCCTGGGCAGCCTGTTCCAGTGCTCTGTTACCCTCACTGTAAAGAAGTTTTTTCTCAAGTTTAAGTGGAACCTCCTGTGTTCCTTTTGTGGAGCTTATCATTGACATTGAACTCTGTCAATGAGTATGATACAGTTGTTTCCTAACCATGTGTTCAAGATTTTTTTTATTACAGCTTTGTCTTATCTTGTTTCCAAGAAAATACTTTAGCTTTCAAATATGTTTTGTGAGTGTATGTTATCTAGTGTATATGCTTACTAATAGGCTTTTACCTATTACCATTGTTAAGTGGTAATAGAATTTTAGGTTCTGGGTTTCAAGTCAATCATCAATACTTTGGTGTATACAAGGTTCTGTATGGAAATGTGAAAGTACCAGAACATTAATGACCTTTTCTCAAGTATATAGTCTTTTCTTGAACAAGAGAGCCTGAAGTTATGAGAGTAGCTCATTTTTGCTGGTTGTCATCAAACTAAATTATGCTACGGTACATAAATATGTTGCTCTTTTTCAGTGGATAGGAGAGCTGTCTTTTATGGTTAGATTGGGCTAGTTTAAGCCTAAAGAAAAACAAACTATGCTTTAGTATTTGCCTTTGCTGACATGGGTTAGTTAAGCTTTGTTCATCTTAGTGCAAGTTTTGGAAAAATTATAGATAGCTGAGGTCCCCTAAAGTCACTATTTTATGTCCTAATCCTATGAAGTCAGCTTGCTGCCTTACAGAGTAGAGAAATGGGCAAAATAACAGGTCAGATTCTTGATCTGAAATTACATATGCCTATACCTGGGAGTCTGCATGTGAGAACAAAAAGGCTGCTTCGTTTGCAAAGATGCAGTTGACTTCACTTTGCAACAAAGATAAATTGTAAACCACAAGAAAGAAAGAAAATCTTCTCTACTTAGGGCACATTTTTTCCTTTTTCTGTGACTATTTAGCATAACAATCCTGGTGTCCATCTGCCATTCCCCATTGGACAGTGTTTCTGTTATCAAATTGTTTTCTATAAATCACAGGAAATGTAATCCTGCTGAGCAAAGGATGGTGAGCTCCTGCATTGCTGAATTTTTCCTATAACTTCAAGTTCGTTGTGGTCCCTGTTCAGGTTCTTGCACAAGGCACACAGGGATGTGTTTAAATCTGCTGCTACAGCAGGCATTGTTTACAAATAGGGTCATCATTTGCTAATGGGGTTCTACCAGCAAAATATGCATCTGACAGTAATTGAATGGGGAGACAACTGAAGGAAAAGAAGTAGAACCAGCTGTGTGTGCTCTTTTTCTGTCATTTTTAGGTTTACTTTTTTATTTACTGGTTACTTTAACCTTGGACTCCCTTGTATTCCTGCAACTTCTTTCCATACTGGAGTTCACTTTCTTTGCAGGCTGGGCGCTAGTCAGTTATTGGGAGGTCATTTGGGATGGGATTTTTATGCATTTAACTCTTTAGTCCTTTATCCTGTCAGCTTCTGCCACTTGGATCCGTCTGCTCAGTCTGAGCTCCTTCGTAGAGTATTAAAACTACTGCATGGGTCCTGCTGCCTACTGGATGGTGGAAGCAGTCAAATCCAGCTGCAGTGCATCTTGCTGGGGTGAAGCACAACACCCACAAACTAGTAATTAAGCACCCCACACAGCTATTTGGGATCATCCAACCTTCTTGGCTTACCTATCCTGCCCTACAGAGGCCAAGAAAGTAGAGACATTCTGTTTTGAAATTTTCATATTGTTTTCTTTCTTTGGGTGGGTGAGGGAGAATTTAGCGAAACTCTTTAACAGAATATATTTCACTGCAAAACCCAATATCATGTACACAAAGTTTTGTAGAGTTTTAAAATTTCCACATTATATGTTTATGACAGAAATCTAGTGACCTCTCTTTCTTGGATTGTTCTGAAGTAACAGTTTTGGCTAGAGGCAAGACGAAAAATTAATGAACCATTTTTACAGAGGACTTGCAGTTCCCTGTTTTCTGAAAGCTTTGCTCTTCAGAGGCCTTGGTGTTGACACACAGCTTGTTTTTGAAAGTGACTGCCCTTCCACTGCTCCTTATTTTTTAAGGCTTCACACCTGTAGGTTGCTAGCTTTAGTCTGATCTGCCTGAAATGTTCTTTTCAGCTGCACAAGTGCTTTAGTGTTATCCTGAAAGGTTACCCATTGTGGAAGCCTGACTTGACTGTTCATCCAGTCCAGTGACAGCAGTATATCAGCAGATCCATATTGCCATACCCTGCTGGTTCTCTGTGCCTTCTGACTACCTCCTTCATAAATAGCATATTGATAGCAATGACTAGTGTTCAGACCTTGCCAATCAATACTAACATTGAATAAGAGTTAATTGACACAAATAACTGCACCTCTCAGTTTGTGTACAAGAATGACACCTTCCTGTGCTCTAATCAATAATAACTCCTTGTAGAGCATTGAAATAAAGCTGCTTTCTCTATTTGACAGAGTTTTCCCAGGTGGCTTGGAGCTGTCTCTTCCATCGTGTCTCATCATAGCAGATTAACTGGAATGTTACATATGAAGTGCTTGTCAAAATGATTCCATCAGGCAACTTGGTAGTATTTGTCGCTGTTGTCAGTGTTGAGTCAAGACATTCAGCCTTTGTTTTGTCTCTAGTTCTATAGCCAGAAAAACATTAACAGTTTACCAGGTACAAGCTTTGTTGCCAGCTGTTAGCTATTTCAAATAGCAGTTGGGAAACATGAATGTCTTAATAAAAAAAATAATCTGTATTTGCTGGAGCTTTTGATTCTAGTTTAGTGTGACAATTTCTGTACGTGTAGTACAAAACGTTGCTTTTTCTTTCATTATTTAACAAACCTCGGGCTGTTGAGACACTATTTGAGTAATCATTGCTTCAGAATCTTATTTTGGTTGGAAGACTTGGAGAATTGAGGAGAAAATAGGATTATGTTGCTTTAATCGTTACTATCGTTAAATAAAAAATAGTTTTAGTATCTTTCTGAAATAGGGAGATGCAGAATGATCCTATAAAGCATCTTCTTCATAACTGCATTTATAATGACCATTTTGAATATAATTTTGGGGAATTAGTTAACAGAATTTGGCTTTTAACAGTGGCAAGTACAAATACCTTTATTTTTCCACTTTTTAACACTTTTTTGGGGTAACTATAGACTTGTCCAAAGACATTAAAAATTAAAAAAAAAAAAAACTTACCAGGGGAAAAACCCTGGATTTTAATTTCTTGACAGGAATTTCGTTTTAAGCAACCTCCCATCTTCACCAGTGCCTGTAGAAGTGGGTATGAATGACAGGGTGGCTTTATTCTGGATTTGAATTTATACAGGGCTGCACAGAAGGGAAGCTGAGAGCGGGCAGGACAGAGGGGAGCACACACAGGGAGGCACTCGCCCTCAGTTCTTCTGCTGGATGGCGCCATCGGTCTTAATAAAATTAGTTCTGCTGGCCGTTCTGGTGCCCGCGTAGCCACTGCTTCAGTCTGAGCCCTGGCTTTTCCGTGAAATTGCTTGCCTTGAACACCATGGGCCATGCCTACAATCAGCCACAGCAATTCACACGTTAATTGTTCTAAGTCGAATTAATATTTGACTTAAAGCAGCTCTGTCTTATTATGAAGTTCAGCCAGATGGGTCAGCAGGTATAAAATGCAGCAGCACTTTCGTTGAGCACCCACGTGGTTCTTGTGTCACGTCTTGTTTTCTTGCTCTTATATCTGCACTGGCTCCCATTGCATAAGTTAGGGTTCCAGGTTTCCATTTTGAAAACAAGATTCATCAGAGGATTGTCTCCAGTATCTTATAAAATCTAGTCTGTTTCCACAACATTAGCTTTTACAGCGAATCTGGATCTGAAGCCAACAGGGGCGAAACTAAGTGTAGGAAGGCCCATCTTTTCAGAAACGCATGTGCAGTTCCTGAGAATTTCCCAGTGGGTATGAGTGAGAGCTGAGCCCTAGCAGCAGCCAGGACTATTTGCGAGCTTTCTTTCAGCTAATTCAGCTAGTTTCAGCTAATTCTTTCAGCTAATTCAGTCTTCCCCATCCCACTTTCATACAGAAAAAGAAACATATTGGGAATTCTCTAATTCCTCCAGTGCAGGATGAGACAGAAGCCTGAAAGTTGGCGAATTGCTCAGATACAGCTGAAATTGCTACATTGTAACTCAATGTATTAAGTCTTTTAAGGGTAGACTTAAATCAAAATTCAGCAGTTAAAATCTGTTTACCTTCACTCTGAAGTGTTCTGATTTTTTTTTAAATTATTTTTCAGGTTAACGAACAGAAATATCATTCACAAAATGCCTGAATGGACTCTGATTGCTATTGTTTTGTTATCTGTGTAAGTACCCTTTAATGTCAAATATTTGCATGCACAACTGTCTTAACTAACCTATCGAGACAAGATGTAATTTTCAGATAAAAGGAGGGAAAGATTTCTTTAAATTAAGTGGGCAATCAACAGAATTATTTTTTCACGCAAATGGACTAAATTCTCTTGACAAAACAGAATTGTCCCACTTGCAACAACATGTTAACAATGGACAAACTTAATATTATGTTAAACAAAGAAAAGCTAAGCTTTTGGGATTTTTAAAGAGGGCTAATAGGGTGAAGGAGGAGTATATTTCATTCTCTTCCATTTTCTGCTAACAGACATTCTCCTCTCTGACACTAGGACAAAATGACCTGTATTATATTACTTGGATTTAGCATTTGGCACTTTTTATTTCTCATTTTACTTCTAATTTCCTAAAATATTTCACTTTCCTTATTAAAGTTAAATTATTTTCATAAAGATACAGTGTGCTTCTAAATATATTTGTTTTAATGTTCTAGCAAACTTCTTTTGACAGCAAAAAGCTTTTTCAGCAGCTCTCAAATTTCTGAAAGGAGTACTGGGCCTCAGTATTTTATTTTTGTTAGGATTAGCTTTACTGTTTAAGGTTATGGTGCTATAGTGCCTGCAGTCCTCCTTAGCTTTGTTTTACTTATTGTAGAATTAAATTCTTTCTAAGGGTTTTTCTAATGGGAAGACTGATTTTATTGTAGTGTCTTTCAGTAAACACCTACACAAGGCATGATCTATAAAAGCTGTAGTCATATGCATCAAGTAACTTCCTTAATTTGTGTTTTCCAAACTCATAGACATTTTTGAAGTTAAAGATACAAACTTTGCAGTGTGTGAAACAGACAATTCTCTCACAAATTTGTAGTAAACATTTAACATTAGTTCACCTTTTAAGAAATCACTGATGTTTTCACACAGTGTCAGGCCCTGTCTTTCAGTAGGGTTAAACTATCAAAGCAGTCTTTGTATGTCTTTTAGCTTGAATTACAAGATTGCAAAAATCTTATTCCAGAGACTGTTTATTGCCACGCTGCTGCTACTTCTTTGGGCTTCCTGGGTCACTGGAGCTTGTAGGACAGAGAAGTACTTACAGACATTCACAGGTCAAGAAGTGTTGTGGGCCAACCTCATAGCATCCCCAGTACTGCACTTACTTTCCTTGATATTACTTCAGTCTGACACATTGTTCTGGCTTTACTGTCCCAAGGAAGAGTATACCAGCAGGCATTAGAGTAGGCTTCAGCGAGCCTTACATCTGTGTCACCCAGCCAGATACCGCTCAAATGATTCATTAAATCAGAACACAGAAAGTAACTTTACTTGAATGCCTTGGCATAAATTTTTTATCAACTATAAGAACAAATCTTTTGTAATTTTTACTATATATTCTTATGGTTGAATTGGTTTATTTGTGAAACAGATCTTATGAATTTTTCAAGTAGTTTCTGTACATTTAAGGAAATGGTAACTCTTCTGATCAGAAGTTAAAGTATGTTGCTGGTCTCTTCGCAAATGATGAGCTCTAAATGTTTTCATACATAATGATTGTTTTACAATTGCTTTAAAATGTTATACAAGTAGCAGGCAGTCTTGGTAGCAGTCAGTAGAAACAGAGAACCAAGTCTCTTTTTACTTTTGCTTTCTAAGGGTCCACCCCTAAACGAATTATATTTGATCCTAAATTAGAGTAGATTTTATTTCTGATATTATTCTAGTGAAATCATGGATAAAACTACAGTAAGCTGAAGTCAGCTGGAAGGTTCTTGCAAGCTCATGATCTTCAGATTTTAAACAATTGCTCTCAGGCCCCTCCTAGGAGAGGAAGTAGAAAAATGTAGATGGGGTAGAATGAGTGGTAAGATTGCTCTAAGAAGATTATGAGTGTTGTATAATTTCTGGTAAGATTAAAACAGAACACTTAATTATTTGGGAATTCTAATTAAACTTGAATATTTAGTGGAAGCCAGAAGTGTGCAGGGAAAGGCTACCAAGGACCTAGGCAACCTCTCACAGACAAGTACTCAGATTGTGGCCCTTTCTGACCTCCTGCAGTCTGCCAAGGAATCTGTCATAGTTTACTAATATTGTTCATAAAAAGAATTACATTCCATTAAGTTTTCTCTGGCTTCCCCTTAGCTGCACTGAGAGATGGTGCATGTTGCAGCATATGTAATATAATTTAGATTGCAGAGGGGTTTGAGTCAGAATGGCTCTTTATTAGCTTCTGTCACTGAAAGAGCAGAACATTTTCACAATATGTATTCACAGGTCTTGACCTGGTCCCAGGCACAGCATGGACATTTTACTCCTAACCCGAAACAGTGAGGTAGCATAAGTAAAACCCTGGAAGAAGATAGTACTTCCTCTTTCCAGGAGGATGAAAGATGTGTTACAGGTACCCTGGGGTGCGGGATGTATGAGAACAGAGACTACTGAAGACAGGGTGAGCACCTCAAAAGAGGTGCAAGACCTGAAATATTTTTTGTTTTGTTTGGAAGGGGACAGGGTTGTTTTGTTTAAAGTAGCAACTGTTGGACTTTGCTTGCACCCCATTTTGTGCATCAATACTGTGGCTCACCACTTCCTTCTCGTACATGGCTAGCGTGTGCTGAGGACTCAAACCATGTACTTAACTTCACAGTGCGCTTTCAGAGCGCCCCAGCCCTTTTTGTGGTGCATTGCTGGGCAGAATAACTATTATCATTACTGCTGTATTGAATTCAAGTGTCATCACTGCTTAATACTTTGTATTATGTTATGGTAGTGCAATCTTCTCTTCATGGGAGTTTGCATATTAACTATTTGTAGGATACAGCATGTTGGATAGTTGTAACACCTAATGTTGGTTCTTAAATTAGACCTAGGCTCCCCTTATAGTCTGCTGGTCCTTGAGAAACTCTTAGAAGTACTTATGTGCCCTTGAGTCTATTGATTATTAAAGAAACCTGGGCTTCTAATTAATTGATCTGAAATAAAGTGCCTGAAACTAGACAGTGTGACTGTCTTTCTTGAAGTATAAAATGTTGGACATTGCAACAGTGGAGCATTTCCTGTTCCTAGTGAACAGCTGGATTTATTCAATCAAATTATCCTATAAAATATGAACAGCCAGTCTCAGCCTTTATTGAAAATCTAGCCCGAGGCACTCCTATCTTTATGACCAGCACATTCAGCAGTGCTGTATTGACCTTCTTAGAGTACACTTTGACAGCCAGAGAATTATGTTCAAACAATTGCATTCATGCCTATCATGGAGTGGGTGACTTTAAAATGATCTCTAGATCAAATTTATTATTTATTTGTAATTTTTAATAATTTTGGCAGTGGTAGATTTCTGTGCCTTCCTGTTGCAATATTTGGCATGTTAAGCAGAATTTTTTGTTATATTAATAGCTGCTTTAAAATATACTGTAAACTAGAATACAGAAGTTGCATCTTTTTCCCCAAAGAACTTTGCAGGATATCAAATGAAGCAGATAAATAGATACAAATACAGTAGTTAAGGAAAGAATGGAGAAGGCTGTGGGAAGATTGGTTGCTCTACAGGCATGGGCACTTGCTGTTTTTAGTGTATACCCCTGGTACGGTCTAATGGAAAGCTTTCAAGATACTTTCAGGAAATGTCTGCTTTCATCTTGCTTATCTGAGCTGGCTGGTTCCAGTGAACTGTGGTCAGCTTCATCTACAAAGCCTATGCAAGAGATTCCCCCGCTAAAAGCTTTGAAGCATTTCAAAATGTTCTGGGATTAGTTTATAAGCATTTGGCTGCAGTATTTAAACAAACTCAAAATGACCATGATCACTAAACAAAAGCCATCATTATATGTGTGCAGCCACTTTAGATAAATGTGTCATGTGGAGATGTACTCTAGAGGTTTACTCTCTTGGAGATAACAGTTCAGGAACTGGAGAATCTTGGGTTCGAGTATGCGTTTTTACTTCTTTGCACACCAGAGCGCATCTCTTGCTCAACACTGACATTTCTAAATTATTCTAAGCGGAAATCAGATGTATGTGATATCACTGCTGTGTTCTTGTCTGAATGTTTGAAATGTACAAATCTAACGCACAAATACATAATGGATATGAATCAGACTTGCAGAGTGACTCTTCTTCCTACAGAAACCACATACAAGTCAGCTGGATAATCTTTTATTTAGCAAGTCTGATGATAGAAGATATAGAAGATTGGTTCCAGGTTTCAGCTGAGAAAAATCATTTATCGTTAAGCTAGAAATCGAATTGTTTCCCATTTTGAAACAGTGTGCAGGACCAAAAGTCCAAAAAGTCTTTCTTTTTATAAAAATGTTTGAGTGTGGTCACAGTATTGTCTCTATGCTTGATCTCTATCTGTAGAGATATATTATTGTATGAAATAGAGAAAAGGCAAGTTTGTCTTAACATAAAAAAATTAAAAAGTGTATTCTTCCCTTTTTCTCTCTTAATAATTTTAGGTTGTTATTTGGTGAGTATGACCTCAAATACATTTTCTGTTAAGCAGTTCTTACTTATCAGCACTTTCCAAGCGAACTCGTATCTGCTTATTTGGCATATTTTAGAGGAGATCAGTATTACTTTACTTCCTCCTACTTACGTTCCTAAGTAATACTGGAACATATATAGTATTTTGAGGGATTTGCAGTGTTATTAATTGCAACTTTAAAATTAGTTAAATATCTTTGTCATTCATAAGGGAGAAAATAGAAGAAAACTTAGCAGTTTCAAAGATGTTTCTCCTTATATAAAAAAACCTCACTGTTGCTGTGTGTTGCTATAGTGCTGTTACACAGGAAAGTGACACTGTGGATTTCATTGCAGCACACACAGCTGCAGGTTTTTTCCATTCTAGTATTTCTAGAACATGGAGAGCCTTCTGAATGGGAGATTTGGATGTGCTGTGCAACTTTCACGCATGCACAGCATGAACTCTCTGAGTCTAGGATAATTAGTTCCCCTTTACAATTCTGGTCTTTGACCTCATCAGAAGGAGT